GACAGCTTAACCAAGATTTTTGTTACGTCTCTCAAACTCTTGTGTAATCCATTTATTTCTATTCATTTATCAGGTCGACATCTTTCAGAAGGATCTGTTGTTGATCCCCATCCATCTTGAGGTCCACTGGTCGCTGGTCAGTGTTGACATTCCTCGTCGAGCCATCACCTACTTTGACTCTCAGAGGACTTTGAACAGGCGTTGCCCAAAGGTAGGGATCAGGCAGCTTTTGGAAAAGGAATGAGTGGATGATTGAACAGTTTTTGAAGAAAGGTCAGTGGGTATAGATGCTTATTAACGCTTCTATTAAAATGATTAATAGTAGCAAATAAGCAGCTGCATGATATTTCTGTTAGCTAATATTGTTGCTTTTTAAAAAACGTAGTATTTTTTAACACTTCAAATTTGTTGTAAAAGACCAAAGTTTTTGTAACCTCTTCAGTTGGGTTGTGTTAAACCCAAATGTTCGGGTCCAAAGCTCCTCTGTCTGTCCTGCCAGTGATTCAGTTGCTGATAGGAGAGGACGGGCTGTCACACCTACAGTGTATCCATGAATCTGCTGCTCAAAGTCAGAATCTCTGTTTCTGGAAACTGCTCAGTCTCTTTGAATGTGTTCATTTTGATTCCAGCACATTTACAAATACCTGCAAGCTGAAGCCATCAAAAAAGACCAGCAAGACTTCCTGACAGGATGGACCGGCTTTTTCAAAATGGTAACACTTTTTTTTAATAACACTTAACAAAGCTCTGGTGAGACTTTGAGTGAAAATGATACGAGAAGTAGACTTTAGTTGAAATGGTACCATTGCTAATGCTAATGTATTTGTAATGTTGCAGAATGTGGGCCGCCAGAACAATGACAGTGACTGTGGGGCTTTTGTGTTACAGGTGAGTTTTCTACAGTGTGCATGAGGGCTGGGTGATATGAGGAAACTCTAATATTGCCATATTTTTTGGATATATCGCGATATGTCTTGAGCAGCAAAGGGGTTGGGCTGCAGTTTGAGCCTCAGTGAGGTCGGGTTTTTTATGTAAATATCAACATGTGTGGTATCCACAGAAACTTTCAAGTCTCAGCCACAAGCTCATAGAAACCATTTCTGCAAACAGCCAACACAACAATTAAAAAGGCAGTTATGTGCCTAAACACAAACAACAAAGCCACACTCAGCTTCATGTAACCGAGCAAACGTCACATGGTCTAACATCGAAGGTTTCGTCACTCTCCAACCAAAATCAACTGAACCAGCAGCAAAAGAAGGCCACAAATATGCTTCAGGAACGATAAACAATAACATGAACTGTTTCCTTCAACAGAGGCCGTCGTAGCTCGAATCACAGCTGGTGTATTTAACGTTTACTTTGGTGTGTGGGGAGATGTTGACATGCCGAGTTCATTCATGTTGTTCGACATCCTCCTCGTGAAATCCCAACGACAGCGAGTCTGAAACTCCCGCTTTCACCATATTTCTCCCATCTGCTAGCATATAAACACGCAACCGCAGTGTGCAGGTAGAACATTTTCCAGCTAGGAGGGGAGATTGATGATGCATTTGCAGCGTGCGGGAACTCACTCGATGGTTACAATAAAACCATTTTAACCATCGTACGTATCAAATATACTCGATATATCGCCCAGCCCTGATATAAACACGAACTCTTGTTGTTGAGAGCTAGCCATGGACAATTTGGATTAGTCTCAGTTCCGCTTCTTTATAGCATTTATGAGGGAAACATATGTACCTACTGCATAGATGGTAATTACCACACATCAGATTGTTTTAAATGTGTTTCAGTATCTGACCCTGACCTTTCCTTGTCTGCTATCCTGCAGTACTGCAAGTGTCTGGCACTCGGGCAGCAGTTCAACTTTGGGCAGCAAGACATGCCCCGCCTCAGAAGACAGATGTACAAAGAACTGTGTCACTGCAAGCTTATGGTGTGACCCTTCATTTCCATCGTTTGTGGCCAGCTACACCTGCTCCGTCCCTGAAATCTAACAGGATGGAGGGA